TCCTTTATTCTTATTATTGTAATGTGTTATTGATGGCTGATATTGTAATGAGAAGTCAGATGCTTGTCACTCTTAGGTATCAGAGGGTTAAGGAACCTCCTTTTAAGGGACAATTGCGCATTCTGGGAAAGGTTCCTAAGTGTTACCTACTGAAAATTTTTAAAGTTTAACATTTCCTGTACCACTATGTGTAAAATGATAACTTCACTAACATCCAGCCAATCAGATCTTTTGATTGGTCAATATTATACCTTAGTATTTCCCCATCTAATACAAAGTAGAAACACCTACATTGTTGAGATGACTTTTCTCAAACCCCACTGAAACAAACATTGTACAATGTGACTTACTTACAATGTCAAGATCAACCTCAGCGACATGTTTAGACACAAGACTTCCTTCAGTTTGGACAGAGTACTCCAATCTTCCATATGTCTTGAGTTGATTGCAGGCATTTATAAAACCATGGGAAAAATCGATTCCTACAACTTGATCAAATCTCTTGGCTAGTTCAAAAGAAGATCGACCAACTGCACATCCTATGTCGAGAGCAATGCTCGGCACATTATCCTAGAGATCGAGATTTAATAGTTTAATCACTTTTCAGGGAACATACAATAAAGAAAGAATTCAAATTTAGTCAGATGTCATGGTCTGTTCCAGATGTTGTAAGAGAACCATCCGTACAAGAGAAACACTTAATTCTACAGTGTGGAAATAAGGAGTTAGTTGCCACACTTCATCCACGTGCAGTGGCCAGAATTCAAATTACTTTGACATACCTTAAACTTTATATTCGAAATTCCTTGCAGATTATTGCGGAATAGATTAAAATTTACGTACATCAGCATATTCTTTCCTTGTACAGTGAAAAATTTACGATTGTACTCACCCCAATATGTTTAATACATTCCAACGCACATCGCTTGGGAAAATCAAGAGAGTCATGGGGACCAAAGCCATATGGTAACAGTTCATCTGGTTTGCCAAAGTGGAAAATAAGATATTCGCCGATTAATTTTTCTGTCTCATACACGTTATCGTGCGCTTCGCGTCTCTTGGAAAGAAAACGACAAGCCAGTAACGTCAGAGCAGAAGCACCTAGCGCGCTAGCCGAGGCAATCATAAGACTTTTCTCCATGATTGGTAGAAACTTGAAGAAGTATTACAGACTAATTCGCCGATGTAAACTACCGGCACGTGGAAAGGTCTCCGATTTGGTGCTTAGTGACCAGGTCATCGTGTAGGGGAAGTGTGCTCCACCGGAACTGATGTTTCAAAAAAAGCGAATGGGGGCAACGGAAATGGCACATGGCTAAGAAGAGTTTAAAGTTATATTTTATCGGTGGCACGCAACGACAACAAAACAACAGATATAGTAGGGGTTGGGAAATAATTTCGGCTCCATGACGGCGGTTAGTCGCAGGCATAAGACCAAACGAAGGAGCATCGATACAGTACACTACTAACAATATTTTGTGATCTCACCTCGGTATCGCTTGTGTCGAATATGTAGTATCGCCATCTCCCTATCCTTATTTTAAGGCCTCCTAGTGATATTCTTGAAGGATCACGAAGCCTTTTGGCTTTGGCTGGCCAGGCTTACGTGAGCATTTCAGTTTCATCTAACCAGGTGAATTCGATTTGCGTGTAGAAATAAAGTTTCGGCAGAAAATGGTTTATTGGAACTGAAGTGTCGGTGCCTTTCCGTTTTTCTTTGTGTGCAGGTGATGAAGAGCTTTTTCCCGAAATTTTCAACACGGTAAATTTCATCGATATGTTTCATTCCCAATTTCTTGCTTTTATCTAGAACTGAACTTCGCCCCACATGTGCCCACATTTTCCTTTATAAATCCTGTATTGTTGTGGTGTTTTGACAAGAATAGAGAGCTGGATTTACCTGTCGGTTTCTTCGTTAAAAACGATGTCCTGGATCTTTTGTTTTTGGCGGGTAACAAAAACGTCGTCTCTGTAGCGGAAGTGTGTTCTTCTGGAAGTGACATTTTGAGCAACTGAAAAATATATTGGGAAGCATTCGTATTTCCTCCTGCTAGAAATGATTATTAGGTCCTTTTCTAGGGATTTCTGAGTTAAAAAGTAAACGGTAAAAGGCCGAATATAACTAACCAGCCAGATGTAAATAATACACTCTTTATATAACAATTTTTATTCCGATTTCATTACTTCCGGGGATGTAGCTCAGTGGTAGAGCGCCCGCTTCGCATGCGGGAGGCCCGGGGTTCAAATCCCCGCATCTCCAGATCAAAACTACAGAGGTGAATATCTTTTTTATTTTGAAACTTGATTCTTTTTTTCTAATTTGGAATTATCGCTCACAAGCAAAGTATCTTTATCATTCTTTCTGTTTTCGACTGGAAACGAAATCATCTAATTTTAGCTAAGGAAGATTTTCTTACTCTGAGGTGTCAATCAAACACTGTTAACGATTCACACCCTAACATTAATATCTAAATTCTCCACACTTTTCTCAATTTGTTTTCTATGATATTGTCTGGGAGAATTTATTGGACGGTAAGGAGCGTCCTGGATTGGTGATCATTTCCCTTATTTTCGTGACCTTAGTGAGTGATTCAAGAGTGATATTGTAAGAAGAAACTAGTGCTGTTAATCTTAAGGGATAAAGGATCGACAATAATCTACCTTGGTTCAACAACTTTATTATAGCATTGCTTTTGCCAACAGTATATTGCCTATTGCATCAGTAAAAAAGAGGATAAATATCACAATTAAGACTAATATCACAAAATTACTCGATTACATAACAACACAGCTAGGGTCTGGGAACCAATGACTACGATGTTCTCTTGCTATAATTATAATCAACCAATCAAATTCCTCTTTATGCAGCCAAAAAAAATTAACTCACAATCAGAGCGTTTCCCTTGATGTAATCCACATCACTTACAAGGGAACCTTTGTTCCCATAAGATGTGGAACACCAAAGGTCCAGTTCAAACGTCGAACTTTTCATGTGCCGAACCGAGTATTAGTTTGGGTTGACCCAAATAATTAAGTTCAGCAGTTGATTTAAACATGAAATCTAATTAGTCAACCTTGATTGGCTCTTTAAGTGTTTTCTTTCTTCTGATTGGACACTTAACTTTGTTTTAAATTTGGCTTCACAACCCTTCAAAATGTGGAAAAGTGTCCTAATCCAAGACCATTTTTTTTTTTGAGGTAGACATTTTGAAAAGTGTTCTCTGATATACCAGCTAGAAAGACGGCCTCTCTATTGCTATCTATTGAAAAACGAAAGAGGTGGGGTGGGGTAGGACTTAAGTGTTTATGATGCAGTGAAACCCATTATAAAACACAAAGGCAACTTGAGGAGGGAAACGTTTATTTTACAAATCTCACACCCAATTGCCCTACAGAGCAACTATTACAGTAATAATTGACTTACTTACCAAGGTTTTCAGTTAAATACATCTTATTAAGAATCTTGATTTCCATACAAATCCGTAAATTATCACGTTATCAAAGATGCAATTGCAACCCAAGGATAATTTTCTTTTTGTATGCGAAGTAGTACCAAAACTAATTTTACCAGGAGAATATGTTTAACTTAATACAAAAATGCATATTACACTCACCAATTTTGATTGATTTGATACTCATTTACAAAAAATTAGTTAAATATTTTTACTGCTACATTTTTTTAAGAGTAACATGAACCTTATAATTTACGAATATACCACAGTGGAAAATGACAAGTTGGGTGACAGAGTAATCTGGCTTTAAAGCCATCCACTCAATAACTCCCAATATCAGTTAATTCTCCCCCTAGCTACAGCACATTTCCTTGTAAATTAGTTATGTGAACTTGATGCTAGATCAAGATAACAACTTCTACCTATTAATAGGTTTAAGTTTTCATGTTACTTGTTTGCAGGATGGTGTTTGGATATCAAGAGGAGATGTTACATGCTAATAATATCACTTCTGAGAGTTACAGGGTAAATCACAACTCAGAGGAGAAAGTCACAAAGTAACAGTCCAAATTAAAAAGCTTTTGTTTGACAGATAAATCAGAACAGATGTACCTCAACATTACATAAATGATGTAACTTGAAGCATTAACTCACAAACCAGCAAAACGATTAAAACAAGAAAAAAGACCACTGTTTGGTGGCCAATGGCATAAGGGCAGCCATGGACACATTAATTGTATGCCCAAGCTTAATTACCTTTTAGTTTTTAGCTTGACTCATCTTTACTCAATCTCACCATCATTTATTATCATTTGGTTCTTTCCAGATCTCACAACTTTTCACCATACAAGTCACAAATGATGTAAGTCAATGCTAATAACCTGAAAAGAGCCTCTTACAGTTCACTGAAGAGCAATAGTCTGCTTCTCAACCAACTTTCGAAACAAACCATCTGGCTCAGCCATCAATTCCATATAGGATCCAGCCTCAGAGATTTGTCCATCACTCAACACAACAATATTGTCAGCATTCTTGATGGTTGACAGTCGATGTGCTATAGTTATGACTGTACGACCCTTCATTAACCTCTCCAAAGCCTCTTGAACCAAGTGTTCACTCTCTGCATCCAGGGCACTAAGATGAAAGAAAAAACTGTGGTTTGAGCTGTGGTGTGACACATAATTTCATGAAAGTACAGTCTACTAGCCTTCTGAAAGCAATCTCAGTGTCAATTGCTATGATAGTAGAGACAGGGCAATGGAAGGCACAAAGGAAGAAAAACAAAGTTGCAAGGCACATGAAGAGCTAGTTGAAGGAATCAAATTTGTCGTTCTCAAAAGAGAAGGGTTTGATGTTACTAAAAAAAACTATTAAGTTATGAAGTTGAAAGTTTCATGATAGGCTTGGATACTCTTACTGATTACTCAATAAAGTACATATACCTTGTGGCTTCATCAAGCAGCAGGATGGAAGGGTTCTAAAATAAACAAAGAAACAGATTGTTCACAGATATGAATATAAAAGACCACATCATGAACACAACAATTAAGTATTAAAACTTTTTTATGATGGTCTTCATTACCTTCAAAATTGCTCTTGCAATAGCAATCCTCTGCCTTTGACCTCCTAAAACAAAAATATAAGTGAGAGGCATAAATAATCATATAGTTTGTGGCAAGTGGTTGATTCTGAGTTTCTGAATTCAATGTAATAATTGCTGCAATGCATTTACTTTTATTAGGTGGTGGTAATACTATTAATAGCATATAGTTCATAACTGCTTTAAATGATTACCAATTACACCCTAAGTCTTACTAAGTCTGATCTGGTTCTACTTGACCAAGTTTACTCCCCATCAGTTTAGGGCCCAAGCACAAACATTAAGGAAAATTGGTAAGAAATATAAAAGGTGAGATTTGGCAAAAAATACAGCATTTAACTATATTTTGGCAATCTGTACTCTGATAAGAGCTTCCCTCAAGGCTGGTTATTGGACCAATCACAGTGCTTGCAGTTATCGATAGTTGTAATAAAATTATTCATTCTGGGACTAAAAGTGTGAAAAATTATTTATGATGCTGACCCGAAAGCATTTGTCCCCTTTCTCCAACAACAGTGTCAAATCCATTAGGAAAGCTCTTGATGAATCCATAAGCATTGGCTTGCACAGCAGCATCCAAGATGTCATCATTAGTCACTTGCTGACCTGTATTAGCTCCATATGCAATGTTATCCGCAATTGAACATGAGAACAGAATAGGTTCCTTGAGAGAAATCAATCAAATTTAAAATTACAGTCTCACTTGGAGGTTTACACATAAATGATTCTTAAAAAGTTCTTAGTGGCTGGAAAAAAAAGGGAATTAACAAACACTTAGAAAAGTACTCTGAGTGGCCTATAAACCGAACATTTTACCAAAAATTTGAATATCTAAATAAGTTATCTTATGGTTGTTTAGTGTCATCAACTAAATTACCCTGTTATACTCTCTCACCGACACAGCACCACAGTTTCTTTAGAAACTTACCCCCTTTATATCATGGTTGGATGTAAGATTACAAAGCGATAATACTGGCAGTACAAAAAGATGGATGATCAGGAAGAGGATGGTATGTTTCATATCAAACTCAAACTTATTATACAACACCTGATGAACTGTTCCAACTGCACCTCTTAGCCAATCAGGTGACAGGGTTCGCACATCATGTCCTCCAACTATAACCTGCCCCTTTCCAGGGTCATAAAGACGAAGTAGTAACGATCCTAGGGTACTCTTTCC